AGCGCCTTAGAGATCCTTCACTGCTAAGCAAGCACAAGTAGGGATGACAAATATACTCGTACCCGCAGGTAATACCCGAACTCGTCCCGACTTTGACGGGGAATACCCGGTTTGACCGGGTACGGGTACGGGTACGAGTAAAACCCGATATATTAAATCGGGTACGAGTATGTACTTACCCGCCCCGTACCAATGAGAGAAATTAATAAAAAAGAAATATTGTGAAGAAAATAAAAGGAAATAAGAAAAGGGATTATTGTTTTGTTGTGGAGGAGGGGTTTTAAGTTTAACTGCAATGCAATTTGGACTCGGTCGTAAAATTTTGCCCCTACTTTTTTTCCAGAAAGCCAGGGAGGGAAAAGGATTCGGATCGGGTATTCTGTGGGCCGGATCCTGTATCATAATTAGTCAGATATCTCTTCTAATTACTTTTTTTTTTTTCGTTTTAAACACTCAAATTCAATATTTTTACTAATATATAAAGAGATACCCAATATCTCTTCATTTATGAAATGTCTCTATATGAATTTTATCTCTAAATTTAAAATAACTCATGGATTGAATGAATTTATTCTTGACATATAATCGTATAAATAATTTTACACTACTTATATGATTAATTCAATCATTATTCATTGATGAAGTGCATGATAATCAAAATATAATAGAATTCGATTTCATATAAAAGAAAAATTTATGTTCTACATAGTTATATTTGTAATAATGGATTAAAGTAATATATATAATAATCACATGAACTTTTTCGATCATAAATTTTTTTTATAGGAAGATCAAATAATGATTTCGCTTCAGGACGATTTTTACTTTCCCTGCAAATTATGAACGAAATTAAATGTCAATAAATAATAAATAATGTCATAAATAATAAAAAATAAAATTACATAATGTCATATCTTTCGAGAATAAATTTTAATTCTTTATAAAATACATCATCCATAATTTCTTTAACTTTAAAAAGCTGCAAAAACAAATAATAGAGTGTCAAGGATCAATATGAGAGATTTAAAATTTCATGTAAATTTTTTTACTTTATGAAAAAAATAACCATAACCTCAAAAATGGAGATCTCTCGTTTTGCATGAAAGTTGTTAATATGACAGATATTACTTGATCTTGCATTTTCAAGTGTCCTATTGTTGTGAAAAGTATGAGTTAGAATTTATTTAAATTAGGTAATAATACAACTATATTTTTATATATATGAAATTGTCACATATAAAATATTTTTAGAACCATGTTATTATATTACCTTTCTAATTTTTGAGACAACAATTCTTTTTTCACCATTTTCCAAAGTTGGGTTTTATCTACTATTACTATAGAACTCCACCTAATAGAATATACTTTTAAACGATGAACCTGCCACAAAGAAAAATCAATTTAAATAGATAAGCAATAACAAAATATGAAAATGACATTTTCAAATTAAATTGAACCTTGTTGTTAATGAGAGAAATTGTTGAGAGTGAATACTTGTCCTTCCAAATATTTCATAATTTTTCAAAGTCATCCTCCTAGTAAATATAAGTAATATAATGAAAAATAGATGATAATAAAGTTTCATAATAAAAAGTGAATAAATATGTTATCACTTACATGTTTGTCAAAATACATATTCAAATTCTTTCTATTGATCTCTTTATATAACTAGAGGATCTTCTTGAATCTTAATTTGACTATAGATTAAAAAATAAAAGAAACAAATTTTAGTTTTTGTATATCATTATCAAATATTAATCTAAATTCATAAAAATTACAAATTAAAAGGGGCAACACCTGATTTTGATATAACAAAATTTCTTTAAAAACAATATTTTTCGTAAAATTTTCATCTTCTTCCTTCTTTAATAAGAATTTTCATTGAAGCTTGAGAAACTGTTGGTTTTCCGAGCAAGCGCACTCAAGTCTTTGTAATATAATTAAAAGGTTTTCGATCCTCAGGGATTTGTGAAGTAAGCCTTGATTTCTATTATGCTAGTTGATACTTGTGGATGTAAAACTTGAGTAATTGCGCATATCCAAATTTGATGTGAATGCTTAATTAAACTTAAGTAACACAAGGATAAATTAATTTTAAGAAAACAAATATGAGAAACAGTTGGGATAGATTTCATCAATCTCCCTCCTATGCATTCCTATTGATTCTTTCAAATGATTCTATTACTCATGGCCATTGAGTTTATTTAAAGTGACAAATAAGACGATGAAATTTGAGAAGTTAAATTTCTGAGAAGAAAACTTCTCTGGAATAATCGATTATCTTAAGTAAACCCATGAAAATAATCGATTATTTGGGTAATAATCGATTATCTGGAACATGAAGAATTCCAAGAGCCTTTGAAATAATCGATTATCTACTAAGAAGGAACTCAAGAGTCACTGTAATAATCGATTATCTTGGGAAATAATCGATTATCTGGGAGTTGGAATCTGAGAAGTCACTGGAATAATCGATTATTCTGTAAATAATCGATTATCTGGGCTGTGTAAGGAGATATTACCCTCTGTAATAATCGATTATCCTTAAAATAATCGATTATCCATATCAGATTGCGTTTTTAAGGGATTTTCCTTATGCAAATAATCGATTATTTGTATAAATAATCGATTATCTGGGCGGTTTTTTTAAAATTTCCTAAAACGGTTATCTACGCGCCAAACCCTTGGAACCTCCTATAAACCCTCACTCAGAAAGTGTTAGGGCATAATCCTCCTCTTCTCTCATTTTCTCTCATTCTCTCTCAAACCCACAAACCCTAATTCTCTCAAATCCTTTCAAATCTCTCATTTTCTTCATCTTCTTCAACACCCACTCATGGCATCCTCATCAAAGAGACCAAAGAAGCTTGAAGTGAGGGGGAGCAAACGTCCTCTACCCTCTGGGCAACTGATTACGAAATGGTTTGCTGATGAGAAAGCTCAAGAGTACTATTTTGAGTGGTACGCCGGGCAGAGAATCATTCCTCCGAAGACCCTTAAACTTGAATGGTTTAAGAACGAAGGTTTTAGTTTTCCAACACTTTTAGAGCACCAAGAACTGGGCAAGTTTTTGGAAATGGAAGGTCCCTATTATCCTGAGTTAATCAGGTTATTTCTCTGTTTCGCCTCGAGTAACGACGGTATTATGCAATCGGTGGTGAAAGGAAAGCTGATTAAGCTGGACGGGCCAACTTTGAAGGCTGCTGCAGGGCTGAGCGGCACTGGAAAGGAGAAACCTCAACCTTTCAATTTTGGGGATTTTGAAGAGCTGATTACCTTCCGGGACTGTCAAAGGAACCCCGTGAATACCAATTATGAGAATTCCTGGCGGGAGGTATGAAAAAGAATTCCCGTTTAATTGCAACTATTAATTTCAAGACCATCCCTGGCTCTCAAAACTAATAGGTGATTCGTTCTAACTCTAGATTCAGAAAACGTTTTCCAACCAAATTCTAAATCCAAAATCAGAGATAAATGATCAGTTCATCAAAGCATTAAGAATAGAAACAAATCACTAACATAGAGTAATAGATGAGATATATATATGAATCAAAGATAATACAAAGGAGTTCGACGATTACATCAATCCCAACCCTAGAGCTTAGCTCTCCATAGTACAAGAAATCACCAAACAACAAGATGAAAGGTAGAAGGAGAAAGAAATCCTTTGAAGAATCGCGTCCCCACGAGCTCCAAAGTGCTCTGTTTTCTCTCTTTTCTTTGTTCTTCTCTCTTCGTACAGCTTGATAATGATCTTTTCTCTCTCCTCTGCCCTTATATATGTGATGGAATTAAAACAGAGTAAGCAGGAAAGAGAAGAATCCGCTCAGCGCCTTGAAATGGCTGAGCGATTTGAAGAATTCTTCACCATGAAGTAACCTAAAGGGCTGAGCCCCTTAAATCCGCTGAGCGCCTTAGAGATCCTTCACTGCTAAGCAAGCACAAGTAGGGATGACAAATATACTCGTACCCGCAGGTAATACCCGAACTCGTCCCGACTTTGACGGGGAATACCCGGTTTGACCGGGTACGGGTACGGGTACGAGTAAAACCCGATATATTAAATCGGGTACGAGTATGTACTTACCCGCCCCGTACCCGTACCCGTACCCGTCCCCGTTTCTATTTTTAATTTAATACCCACTTTCAATTTAATTATATTAAAAAAAATTAATATTTTTTTATGTGTAATTATTTATAATAATATGAGATAAAGAAATAACTTAATTATAATTATAATATAATTAAAAAAATAATTTAAAAATATTATATTTAAAAAAAATAAAAATAAAAAAAATTTGACGGGTACGGGTATGGGTACGGGTATACCCGATACCC